GCTTTGCTTGATGCGAACTCATATGAGATGCATCATAAGTTGAAAGTGGCTACCAAAAAAGGCAGGGAAGTGATGAGTCATGTATTTTATATATTTTATCCCACCTTTTTTTTGCATTTTAATGATGATTTCGGGCTATTTTGGCTTTATTAGATATTATTTAGATTATTAGCCAATTTTGAGGAATAATATATTTTTTGAATTAATTATAGGAATTTTGGGCTAATTTGTGAATATTTTATTTTCCTATTTTTAACATGGGTTAATTTTGCCAATCATTAATTGAGCTTAATTTGAATTATTATACATTATTTGAGTTTGTGACCATTTTGTGAGAAAATTATAATTGCTAAAAAAATTAATTTGGAAAGATTTTATGAGACATGGAATTTATTTTGGATATGATCTACACTACTGGGTGCATTTGAATTTTCTTTTCTTTACGCCATGGAGATAAAATTAATGAAATTTAATGGTAAGGATTGAATCTTAAAAATTAAAAGAGTATCCAAGGGCTATGAAGAAATAAGATAAGTAAGTAATTATCAAGGTTCATTAATGGCACAATGGGCATTTTCAATCAAGAAAAATTAGAGGACTTTTACACTTTTTTTTAAATCTGTTTTCTAACTGGCTCTTTTTGAATTCAATGGTTGAGATTTTTCTTAAACTCTTTACCCACTCTTCTAGTCATTGGATCAATTTTCTTAATTCTTCACCCACACAACTGCCACCTCCATTTAGGCAGCTCTCTCCTCTCCTTTTCTTTTTGTTTTTCAATGATTTTTTATTTATCTTTTTAATTCAAAGGCTTATAATTATTTAGTTTTAAATGATTCTAAGTTGTAATATTAGAAGATAATCTAATTTTAAGTTGTAAATATTTTAAATCTTGAATTAGATTAATATTTGGATTGATTTTGTATTAAATGAATTTCTAAAATTTATGTTTATACATCCTTGCTTTGCCAATTAAATTAGTGATTGAGTTCTCATTGTTGATTTAATCATCATTGTGGTGTTTGTTGCAAATTTAGGTGTTCCTTTTACCTCTTGATTGTTCGATTGAGTTGGTAATTTATTTAATCATTCAATTAAAAAATTTAAATATATTTTCCAAAATTATTTTGAATTAACCATCATTGGTTTTAATGGATTTAATTTATTTAATTCATAGTTATGGCATTTGCTTCACTATAAGTTCTCTAATGGATTAATTGTTAAACTTTGTGCTTATAGGTTCCCTTTGCTATAATTAGGTAATTGAATTTATTAATTATACTCTTCTCTCATTTTCCTTTTGTCTAACTAATTGAATTGAGTTAGGAAAGTTAACTCCATATGATGTCCTAAATTGTCCCCTTTAACACATTTGAATCAAACTTTTCTTAATTTTTGATCAATTATTCCTTTTTGTCACTTAATTAATTTCTTTAGCTTTCATTTCATTTTTTTTTTGAAACAAAAAACCCCCCAAATCATAATTTAGTGCTTATGCATTGCATAATAGAATTTAATTGTTATAGTTTAGCTTTAGCATCCATTTAGGAAGTTTTAGTGGCATAAATTGCATTTTCTCACTTGCATTTTAGAGTAGAAATCTAGCATTTTGTTTTAGATTTTTTTAGTAATTAAATACTTAGAATCAACTTAAGATAGCCCTTAAATTGCTCTTTGGAAAGAATGACATAAGGTTGGCTTATACTATATTAAGTTAATTTTAGTTTAATTGAGTGCTAACACAACTTAGGCATCCATCAGGAAGCCAAAGCAAAAAGAAGAAGAGACAGTATGGGGAGATTCTCATCCTCTTTGGGTCATAGGGGTGGTGTTTCAAAAAAGCATAGTTATAGCTCAAGCAGTTCTAGAGTTTCAGGGAGGAAGAGTTTTCCTAAAGGTTCTCTAACCTATCGATTCAAAGGGGCTTAGTGCATTAGAGTAGTGGTATTAAATGTAACATCCTGAGCTTTAAAGCTGGAACTTAACTGCTAATTAAAGGATGATTAGTAAATTAAGTTATTAATTAAATTAATCATGTTTTTGTGTGGCTAATTGACATTTTGGATTATTAATAGCCTCATGATTAGGCTAGAATGAAAGTTGGGTTATATCGGGTCAAAATGGGAGAGTAAAAATGGAATTTTACTCGCTGTGCCATATGCCATAGCATGTGCACCATTTATTGTGACGCATGGCATAGATTCAGCATAAAGACTTAAAAATGATCAGAAATAAAGGAAAAGATAGCAAAAGCTTAGGTCATGAAGGAGAAGGATGAAGGATAAGGCATGGATTTGGGCAAAGTTAGAAGCTTGTTTGGACCTCTAATCATGTGGTAAAATTAACCCATAATGTGTATTCATTACATCACTTGTGGAAAGCTAATTTTTGGTCAAGATGTGTTAATTTGTGTGTGTTATGAGATGTATGAATAATAGCATTGCACTTGTATATTATGTAGATTGGAGTATTTTAGCCTAAAGTGGATTCTATTATGATACTTGTGGAAAAGGCTAAAGTGTAAGCTATTGGTATTTGTATATAATAATGAGGATTGCATGTTATAGATTGCGTAGATTTGGCTAAGTGGTGAAATTTGGAAACATGAACATGTAAGGGCCTGGTTTGTGTGAATTTAGGGTATAGAGTGGTCAAATCTTGGTTTTAATGTACTATTGATTGTTTAATTATGTAATCAAGTGCACAATGATCTATTAGTGATGTAAGCCTCAAAATGGGTTAATAGTATAAGTTTTAAGTTTCGAGTCTTGGATGCTTGAAAATCATTTTAAAATCTAACTTTAGCATTTGGGTGTCTAAAATTCTTATATGGTATCAGATTAGAGCGAAACTTGTACCATCAATTAGCTTATCGAATAAGCTTTATGTTGGAACTTGAATCACTCTAATTGAATGTGAAAATGACATATGTTGAAAGTTCACCTTGAAAAATTGTCATGACAACACTGTGTTATCATGAAATAGTACATGCGCCACAGCATGCCAGCATATGGCACAACAGCAAAAATAAATACTCTGTGCCATATGCCGCAGCTTATGAACACCCATATTGTGGCATATGTGTTATAATGTATTAAAATGACATTTTTGACCCATTTTACTATGTTTTAATTGCTTTTGTCTAACATTCTTTCCAAAAAAATTTAAATATCAATAAGTTTGAGATCAAACTATTTATTTTAAGGCTGACAAAAAAAATTACATATTTAAAAGGTTTTTCTTGAAATCCCAAAGGTTTTCAATTGTATTTTAAATATTTAGTTAATTTAATATGAAATGTAGACTATTCATATTAAATCTTAACTATCAAATTGATAAGGATATTTATTAAATTTTTTTTTACAATTTTTATATATTTTTTATTTTAAAATTATAAATTAAAAATAAAAATTAAAAATATGAGAAAGCATACATGAGATGAATGTGTTTTGAATAATGGAGTAAGTTGAGAGGCAGAGGAGCCTCTGTGGACTCTAAAATTGTGAGGATGTTGTTACTTTACCTTATTTTCAATCTTCTAGGTAGCATCATTAGGCTTCATTTTCCAATTCACGCTTACCAAATTCCACAATAATTATTCACAAATCTTTCGCTATAAAAAAAATATATATATTCACAAATCGACTTTTATTTAAGCCCCATCTCATCTAGACTCTCCAATTCATCACTTCATGAGAAAGTTTAAATGGGTCAAACTATGGGTCCTTGCAAGTCAATTTACTTATTTTAATATTTTAATAAAATTTAATTATAAATAATTTAGTTATATCAAGCAGGCCGATCAATGACACTGGATGGTTTGATTAGGAAAATAAGCTTTTTTATAATTTTTTGTTTTTAAAACTTATTCCAAAAAATTATTCTACAGATTTTTTATTAAAAAATTTTGTAAAATAAGCCAGAGAAAATTTTAGATAAGTTAAGTTGTAAGTAGCTTATTTATTTATTTTAATATTTTAATAAAATTTAATTATAAATAATTTTTCAAATTTTTTATATGTATTCTTTTATTATGAATAATCATATTTAAAATAGTGTTCGACGTTAAATAGAAACACTATTCCTGATAATTTTTATAAATAGTTTAATCATTCAAACAGGCCCAAGTTTTTGGTTGCTGAAACATGGGATGCCGTGGCAAGATATGGGACGCTGAATGGATTAGATGGTTTGGATGGGCGTGCCGCCGTGACGCTGAGAGGATCCGGACTGAAAAGAACAAGTCAACCAGCCCGTTGACGCCATTTTCCCGTTCTTCTGAAGTGTGGCTGGCCAGTTTCTTTGTCGGCGAGATGCCCTGCACCCAACCTGCTAATTGTGCAACGTTTTGATCTCTTGCCCTCTGATCATGTCGATCCGAATAAATCCAACAAAAACTATGCCCGCATTTCTGGGTCGTCTCAAAAACACCATCGAATCCTGTCCAGATTCTTCATCAAAGAGCGAAATGATGAAGATTATCGACGATCTGATGCATAATTACCCCGCAGTGAAGCTGTGGGAAGAGGAGCTGCTAGATCGCTTTTCGGACTTGGATCGCCATCATCGCAAGATGGAAGGCTCGGATTCAAGCGCTATCCCTGAAGACCTCACTCTGATTGCCAAGGAACTTCGCAAAGACCTCACTCTGATTGCCAACGAACTCTGCAAAGACCATGCCGCGAAGACCCACAAAAATCAGACAAATAGTGGCGTAGGAACGCCTAAACTGCAGAACGCCAAGTCTTTCGCGCCATTATCTGAACCGGCGCGGAGGATTATACAGGATGCAGACAAGAATCCAATCTTCAAGTGTCTTCGGGCGAGTTATGAACTTCTCAAAAAAGACCTGAAAGACTGTTTACTGCTTCTGGCAATTTTTCCTATATGCTGTTCTAAAGAAAAGGCTTCTTATTTATTGGTGGATTGGCGAAGGGCTGGTAACAGATGAGGAAAAAGGCGAAAAAATATTTGATGACCTTTTGGAACTTGAGTTAATTATGCCACATCGAAATGATAAATGCCCTTTAGTAAATAAATGTCAGATCCATCCTTGGATCCGTTACATGTTGATCATTGTGGCCGAAAAGGCCAAGATTTTGAGCTTGGACGACGGGATACCACGTTTTGACACTGATAAGGACCCTCATCGAACTTGTTTGATAGCTGAACGATCAAATGTGACGAGTAAAAATGGATCCGAGATGGAGAATTTGAAGAGCATTTTTAATGTAAACCAGAGCTATCTTGATCTTCAACTTGAATGGTTTGCTAAACTGAAGTCATTGGAGGTGCTTCAGCTGGGTCGTTGGCTGGTTTCTTCTACCCATCACATTGAAGTTCGGAGTGAATCGTTCCTAAAAGGTTTGAGGACTCAAAAGGGGCTCAAGTATCTTAGCCTCCGTGGGGTTTCCAGAATCACAGAACTTCCTTCCTTCATTGGAGAACTGGTCAGCCTTGAGATTCTTGACCTCAAAGCTTGTCATAATCTAGAAACTTTGCCAGCAGATATTGTATCTTTGAAAAAGCTCACACATTTGGATGTGTCAGAATATTACTTGCTGGAAAGTATGCCAAAGGGGCTCGGCAAGCTTCTTCGGCTCCAAGTACTCAAGGGATTCATAATAGGCAGTTCACAGGAGACTACCATCGGAATAGAGGATCTTCGAAAACTAGAGAAACTTGAGCGACTAAGTATTCATATTGGCAGTGAGTCTGTTATTAATAATGAATTTAAGAAGTTGGAGGGTTTAAGAAATGTCAGGTGCCTCGAAATATCTTGGGGCGTGGTAAGAGAAGATCAATTTCTTAGAGAGTCTCTCCATTTTCCGCCAGGGTTGGAAAAATTGCATCTTCAAGGCATTCCTCACGACACGATGCCAGAGTGGTTAAATCCTAGCCGACTGGAAAATCTGGATAAGCTATACATAATGGGAGCCAATCTCGGCAGTTTGGGACAAGTCCAGACAGAGGAACAACACTGGAATGTGAAATATTTGATCCTCAAGTATACGGACAAGCTGCAGATCGACAAACAAACAGTAAGGAAATTGTTTCCTTCCATTGAGTATGCGAAGAAAGTTAGGTGGATAAAGGGAGGCGGTACGTCCACAACAGCAGGACGAGAACTCATTGATTTTGAGTTGAACAATTGACCCTTCAAGCGAAGCATGTCAAAGACATTGATTTTTTTCTCTTTCCGTTTGTTTGTTCTTTTCTTGCTAATGTTGCTGCTGTATGCATTTTCGTTTTGTTGATCTATTGGGTGTTGTTGAAATCTGGTTTGTTGTTTTTCGGTTGCATGAACTTGATGAATCGGCCACCTAAAATAAATACCTCTCGCTGTAACACGTATTGCTTGGTAATTTACTGGGGCAACAATGTTTTGATCTTTCACTTTCTGAGTTCTTCATTATATGAGTTCTGAATCAATCATCTTCTAGTTCATTTTGCTACCTTTAAATGGCAGGCTGCATCCACAGTTCCATGTTCATCAGTAAGCTTCCAGCGTATGTTTATTCAGAATATACAGGCTTTACTTTTGGAAGTCTTCCTTTGCTGCTCTCTGTTTCTAGTGATCGTGCGGTTGAATGTATTCTTGTGTTTTTCTTCAATTAAATGACGCGTGACTTACCTCTGATTATGCAAATGGTTGAGACCACATCTTTTTCCTGTTGCATTTTGAAGTTCTAACTTTCCCAAGGAATGCTAGTCGTTATTTAATATGAATATTTTCAAAACTAGACCGGATAATAAATTGAAAAGATTAGTGGGTCAAAAGGTCTTATGGTTTAGCCAGTTAGACTAGTGGTTAAACTGGTAACATAATAATGTAAAAACAATATTTAATGTATATATATTAAAAAACGGGTCAAAATAATTTAACTGCTTCTAGTCATGGGTTTTTGATTTGGGTCTTCAAGAACCACTTGAGTCAAAGCGGGCCAACTCAGGTCAACTACTAGAACGAGCTAAATGATTAAATCAGACCGTTTTCTTCTTCGGATGATGGTTCGATTGGTCCAACCATCCGGGTTGATTCAGGTTTGAAAACAATGTACAATATTTCAAAGAGAATTGTAATAGTTGAAAAATTTTAATCCTAATTCATTAACTTAATGAGAATAATTAGTAAGTTAACAAGGTGTGTGGCCAGAGGGGCTTAACTTGGCATAATTGATGTGATTTTAGCCCTAGAAGTGAGTCCAAATCGATGATAGGCCACCTGGGCAAGGAAAGAGGAAGAAAAAGTAAAGAACCATTCTCTGTGCCACACACCATGGCGCGTGGTTGGTTCACTGCAGCACATAGAGACAATTTAAATGTAACGAGCTCCTCTGTGTTATACACCACGATGAAAGGCATTGTGTGCCGCGGTACACGGGCAAAATTTTTGATAAATCAATTCGTGAGCTGCGTGAAAACAGAACAGAAAAAGAGGAAGAAATCAAAAAGCTCAGTTTTGGCTTTGCTAGGGCACGACATTTGGTTCCATTATTGATAGATTGAAGTTTCCAAACACTCAAGGTAAGTTTATGGTGTCTTTTTCTTCCTTTTTCTCCCTCATTTATAATGAGTTATGATAAGGTTTGAGTTGGAAGATAGATTTTCAGTTTATAGGAGTATAGGTCCGATTCTATTGGTTAAAATAAGTAAAATGAGAGTTGTTTAATGTGTTGGAATACCATATTGATGATTTTGAAAGTGGTTAGTCCATAGGAGCATTTATTATCCCAAAATTGATATTTATGAGGTATTTGGGAGAGGTTAATGTGCATTAATGATGATTTGAGATGTTGTTAGTGATAATGTGCATTAATGGAATTCTATAAGCCCATTGGGTATGAATGGGCAGTGATTATGAGTTGGTTTAAGATAGTGTGTGGAGTTTTATGTTGATAAAGTTTCAAGAGTTAGATAATGATGATATTCTTGTGATATGGATGTAAAGAGGTTTGTTTTTGGCACCATTCAAGCTTGTTAAAGCTTTAGGAAGTTGGTATAATGAGGGATAAACTTTTAACCTCTCAAAGGTTTGATGTAACTATAAGAAACTTAATCTTTATAGTTGAATGTTAATTGTATTTATGAAATGTGATTTGTGAGTTAAATTGATAATACATATTGGCAAAGTGCTTGATTTATGAAATGGTTTTTGGGAAAAAAAAACCTTGATTTTACCACCCTTGATGTTTTTACAAAATTGATTGTGATTTATTACTATAGGTGGAGAACTGTATTATATTATGTGTTAAAAGGTGGAGTATTAAGTTATATGAGTTCACATGTTATGAATCATTTGTCAAAGTGCATATTATGTGAAATATGTGCATAACATGATCATTGGAGGGAGTTCACCTAGGGAGAGGAGTAGATTGGTTGAGATCCACGTGGTATTGGCAGTGATTGTTGGAATCGAGAACTAGCCTTAGCACCGACTGTTGGAATCAAGAGGTAGTCCTTGTCCCATGGTTGTTTTGAGATGTTCTATTTGTTCTAAGAGGGACTCAAACCTAACTAATCTCTACCAGTTCATGAAGAGGCTAGATTAGGGGTACGACACCCCATGGTTGTTAGTATTGGGGGAAAACCAGATTACATAAGTGAGTGAGTTCACCCTGGCCCGGTAGCTCCTCATAAGTGGAAAGCTGGGTTAGTCCGTAAAGGATGTAGCCATGTGGTAGCCACCAATTTTGTGTTGGAGGTAACAGGAGGATATAAGGTTGGCATATGATCATGTATATAAATTCGACCGCATAGTTGTTAGTTTTGTGGTCCGGCATGTGTTGAGGGTGCATGGTTGTTATTTTCCCAACCATATGTTATGCTTTTGCAAAATAACATGACATAGTATTTTGTGGCAAGCCCGATCACATGGTTGTTAGTTTTGTGAACCCTGGTTGAGTGTTATGCGATATATGTGCTTGTTTGCCTAAATATGTCTATTTACAATTGATATGCAATTGTATGGGTTAAGTGAAACTTGATTATTAAGTGGTTGTACTCACCCCTCAATTCTCAATATTTTTAAGATCTAGCTCATTGGATCCAAGTTAGGAAAAATATACAAAGGCTTAGGATTTGTGGAGTAATCCTTTATATGCCTCTCTTTTATTACTTTCATGTGTATTTGTTAATGTAATTGCCAACTAGGATTAATTGACATGTTTTATACACTACTTGCATGATTTTATGTATAACTAGTGTATTTTATGCCCTAGGATAGTGAGCTTTAGTTGTGAACCCGTGGATAGAGCCAAAATACTTGTGCAAGTAGAAACATTTGTTTTTTAAGCAATTTGGAATGAAATAGTTGATTTTGTGCAACTTTTCCTCCCCTTTTTGTTTGTGAAAACTGGGGTTGAGTAGTGATTTCATGAGATAAGCATTTTTTATTGTGTGTGGTGCGTTGCACGAGTTTGCAAGAGTCCATTGAGTGTGGTCGAAGGGTTGATGTAAGCTATTGGTATGTGTGGTTGAGTTGGGACACCCTATTTGTGAGATTTTGTGAAAATGTGGTCAAAATAGGTTTTGGTGTCTAAATTTTTGTAGAAAATGAGTTTGAATGTGAAACTAGTGCCATTAGCTAGAGTTAGAAGAAAGCTTCATCTAGACACTAAAACCACATCAATCGGACATTGACGGAGATTCAGGACAAGTCAGAAGTTCATGCCCTGTGCTGTCATATGATAGCACTGATTTATCAAATTTTTTGCAATGCGCCGCGGTGCATGGCACCTCGTGATAGGGATTGTCGTTTGCCTTCAAAATTAAACTAAAGCTAACCCTAATACAATACAGGGCCAACCTTAGGTCATCTTCCAAGGAATGATTTTAAGTCTAATTTAAAAGTTATCTACTAAAATAAATCACCTAAAGTTTGAAGTTGATTAACTAATTGCTAACCTAATTATCTAGTGAATTAAGATGGAAAACTAATCCTAATTTTGAAAGAAGTGGCTTCTCAATTTAAGTAGGAGCCTTAAGGTGTTGTTAATGGAAGATTTCTAGCCTTTAATTAATTATGGCAGCTCACTCAACTCCTCTTCCTTAGCTAAAAAATGCATTTACTTAAGACGACTATCTCAAGTATCTTAACTTCACTAATTTAATTTCCTAAGTGCTATTACAAGCCCTCTAAATAATCTTACTAGCTTAGCTCTAAAATTAACCAAGTGTTTCACTAAAATTCATTCCCAAATGCCACTACCTAAAGTTGTACCTAAGTTCAAGACTATGAAAACTCAAGCAACTCATCAAGTATTCACCACACAATTACATGCTAGGCTAATACAAGACATTCACCCAATGAAATCACATATTATCATGCAAATTCATATAGTGGACGAAATTTCAACAGTACATAGGTCATGAAATTCAACTTAATAATCTTGTTTCAACATTACAAATTATAAACAACCATGTAACTAAAGTCAAAGTGAACCACAGTCAACAATAGTCATAATATTCTAATAGAATTGAAACAAGATGAAGAAATAGTTGAGCTTCGCCAAATAAAGACTTCAAAACTTCTCTTCCATCAACTCTTCCTTAGGATTCTATGGAGACTCTAGCTAGAAAACATCAATAGCACTTTGCTTCCTCCATGAACACAACTAGGCTGTGGCACATGCTTTATGCTTCTTGTTGGATTTAGCTTCAAATCTCTTTCTAGTTGCTTGGGGTTGGTTCAGCCTTAAGAGAAGAGAAGAATGGTGAAAGAATTGAGTGGATTTGATGGTGAAAAGAAGGAGAAATGGTGGCTGGACGTGCTGTATTGTAGAGAGAAGGAGGAGAAAATGAAGACCACTAAGAACAAGAAAGAGAAAATGTAGAAGATGAATGAGATAAGTGTTGAATCTAAATTGGTGCTGAATGGAAATGCTCCTAAGTGTTTCCCATCAGTTGAATACTCAATTAAAAAATAGGAAAAGAAAATAAAAAAATGAGAGCCTTGTCACACTTGCAAGGTGGCATCCTCCTATTGGTTTGTAGATGATTCCAATGTATGCCTAATTTTTCATGTGTTATCCACATCAGTTAAGCTAATTTAATCCCTTAAAATAATCATAATTCATGTGTAAACCATCAGCCATTGACCCCAAGGAGTGTTGACCTCAATTGCCAAATTGATGCACAAGTCACATGCCACCTATGTCACATAAATCACATAATTCAATTAAATAGCATGTGATATAATAAAATTTAATTAATGTTTAGAATTAATTCATAATTAGAAGGGAGAATTAATTAAAATAACCAAGTTTTAGGCTACACAAAATTATTTAAAAATTTTTACACAAAGGCGAATCGAAAACTAGGTCAAACTAAGATACTTAAGAAAGTATTGACTTTTTATTTAGTTACTCCCAAACTAAAATAAATTTTAAAAATATAATTTCGCCACTCATCAAA